ATATATAGCTGGGACTCGTTGGTAAAACACTGAAACCAAAAGAAAGAATTAAAGTTTGATCTGATTCTGTGCAAAAAAACTGATGTTTTGACTCAAAAAAGACTTTCTGTTTTAATATTTTTGTCTTGAACTATCGTTTTTTAAAATATCAGCCAAGAAAATTCTGGTGCTATGGAAAACTAAAATGTTTAACACATTTTTTAAATGTCCTAAAATAATCGCTTGACTCCATTTCAGGAAACACAAAGACTTAGCACTTTTATCACAACATTTTTATGTTTTTTGGAAAAAAAATGAGCAAAGTGATTATTTTAGCAAGGTGACGATATTTTATTTTGTGTCACTGTGCAATAATTCACTTTTTAGAATAAGAATGTTCTTTCTCTGCGTTTTATTATGCTGTTCATAGGACGTTCATGTGGCACAGCGTGGGTAATTTTTGTGGTTTTGCAAAAATATGTGGACCAAGGAAAATAGAAACTGCAAAAAAGTTTTAGTGCAGATGGGCTCTTATAGGTGTAGAAAATGCAAAGGTCAAACTCACAGAAAAGAAGCAGTGACCGACGGCGCAAACATGAAGTTTTGTCCTCTATAAATCCCTGTTTTTCTTTGATAAAATCTCAATAAAAAACTCAGCTGTGAACTTCCTGTTGCATTTTTCTATAACACTTCCCTAAATGTTACACATCAAACCTCAAAATAACCAACTAAACTTTTGCAGATGTACTTGGGAACTAGTTCCCATTATGACAATAAAAAGCTTGAGAAACCCTGTTTGATTACTAAAACAGCGGCAGGAGGACGTACTGACACAACAGTTGCATCTAAACACACTTCCCTCCTTCCTTTTAAACTGGGGTTTCTGCAAACACTGTTGAGTAAGTAGTGGAGGATTGTAAGCTAGTGCATTTCACATAAACTGACATGAACTTAAATTTCTGCACCGTGCTGCCATCTAGTGAGTGAAAGAGGAACTGAACAATAAAGAGCCGTTTGCAGCCAACCTGAGAGGTGGTTTTGAAAAACTTTGGAACTTCATTGTTTTATGATCTCTATAAACAGCAGGTTTACAGAGTTACATTTACCTGGCGCGGGGGTCGGCTCAGTGAGTTTTTAGGGCTCTGCAGAGTCTGAGGCTGCTCTCTGTTGGCAGCTGCTGACTGGAGCCTGAAATAAAACAAAATCTTACATTATATTGCTGTTTGTCCACAGCTACATCCTGGTTTGTGGTCAGTCTGACGGTTTGGATGGAGGGACATAAACTGCTCTGACCTGTACGGGTATCGAGGCTGAGCGAGCAGACCTCTGTTCCTGAGGTGCTGGTACAGGTTGCTGCTCAATAAAAGTGGGTTCAGGACAAAGTCCTCCTCCAGCTCAGAGAGACAATCCTGAAGCAGACAGATGTGACAAGTTTCATCTTCACTTTTATCAAATTTAAATTTAATTAATAATTTCCCTCTAATCATCTTCATTCACCAATAAATAACGAGCTGCTTGCAGTTTTCTTTGCTCCAGGTGTCTTTGGATGATTTTTTTTAAATAAAAATGAAGCTTCTCAAACCTGTACAGTCTGCATGGCAGAAGGCGCAGGGTCCTGAGCTGAGGGGGGCAGTGAACAGGGAAGCAGCAGTTCTCTGGACACGACGGGCTTCAGGAGGAGGCTGAGAGACGGGGATGACTGGAGGATGTAGTGAGAGTACACACCTGTTACACACACACACACACACACACACACACACACACACACACACACACACAC